AAAAAAAAAAAAAAAAAAAAAAAAAAAAAAAAAAAAAAAAAAGCATTAAACAACTTACAATTGGAGGCAGCATCATTTTACAAAAGTGTGTCATTGGAGAAAAAAAATAATTACAACAAAGCCTACAAAAAGCACTGGTATCTCATCACTGCAGAAAGTTACACTTGTTACAAAAGTGCAGATTTGCATCCACACACAACACAGAAAGGGAAATCTCTGCTAAGGAAAGTGCTACTCATTGAGGAACGGCAAGTAAACTTTATACCAACACCGTAGCCCAGAGAAAAGGCAAAGCCTGCTGCAAGCCCCTTACTTTTGAAGCACGTCTCAATCGCAGCCGCACAGTCTGGCAAGCAGGAGGACTGACTGCAGGCAGCGGTGGGACAGGGCAGGCAGGGGGCTCAGAAGCACCGAGCCAGGAGCGGCTGCACCCCCACAGGCTACCGGCTGGCTTGACTAGCTACGAGACAGGTGCGTTCATCTTTCTCCCTAGCTCATTAACCACCTGCGGACCCGAAGCGTTTTCCTGCAACGCTGCTTCAGCCCCTCCGAAAAAAAAAAAAAAAAAAAGCCAGAACTTTCTAAAGACACGAACGTCCACCGCAGCACGGCCGATAGCGGCCGTTTGGCCCCGGCCCCCCCTGCGAAATAGCGGACCGCCCCGCGAGGACGGCGGGGGAGGAGAAGGGGTCGCGGACGGCGCGTCCCCTCGCGTCGAACCTGAAAAGCAGCGACGCGGAGCCTCCATCCCGAGCAGAGCGCGGCAGCCCTGCAGCCTTATGGTGCCGACGCTCCCGGCCCAGCCATGGCAACGGGGGCGGGCGGTGCCGAGGGTGGAAGCGAGCGGTGAGAGGCTGCCGAGAAAGCAGCTAACCCTGAGTTAGACCTTATGAGCTCCAGAAGATGTGAGAACCCAGCGCAGCTGACGGTTTTTAACATTAACTCGTCTCGGACTAGAGGTTCACAGCTGTGAATGACTTGTATTTTGTTTCAGGACCTTTTCAGACGGTCCTTCAGGCCTATCGAGTAATAGGAAACAAAAAGCATATAAGCCCAGATTTAATCTAAGCGAGCGGCATAAAGATTTTGGGTTTGTAGAAAACCCTGTCACTGTCTATGGTGAGAGCCTGCTGTCTGTAACAGAAGAACTCTTCTGCTGATCAGCTAAGGAGTCTTGACAGCTTACAGGAAATAGAAATAGCGAGAAGGAACCAATGAAGGTTTGGTAAATGTGGATGAAAAAGAAAAACCATAATAAGGACACCACAGAATACAAAGAGCAGAGATTTTTCAGTCACTTATCACCAGTGGAAGAGGTCATTTAGTAGCACAGATTTGACCCAGTTTTTATTGCTAAAACTGTTTGGAAAACTGGCATGTCAAAATCAATTGTTATAATCTATTTTGGAAGGATCGAGTGGATAAAAAGCGCTTCAGAGATGGCATTACCTGTTTCTGAGTTGATGTCAATCGGAAGCACCTGATCTTGAATGTTTATGGGTCAGTGTTCTAATGGATAAGCCAGAAATTGACAGGGTACTTAGCCATCAAATCACACTAGAGAACAGCAGGAACTATGCCTTACCTGTCTACAACATATAGGGAAAACATTCCTGTACCATGATGAATTTCACATGCTAGAGATCTCATACTGCTGGTGTTAAAAAGTACTTGGAATTTCAAAATATTTTAAGAGTCATTTCCTAACTTAAGAAGTGTTGCACTCACCAAAAGGAAATTCTATATTAGACCTCATCTAGACACATAAAAAGGAATTGAACACAGAGCTAGAAATTAGTCATAGCTTAGATATAACTGATAATTATTTGATCACATTTGTTACACGCAAACAGAATTAAGTCCAAACCAATAATATACATGCTTCATGCATTGGACAGCATAATTTTATAAAGGTGAAGACCACTGTAAGCTAAGTCTTTGGGAGAAAGAACTGAATCTGAGATGGGAGAATATTAATTGGAAACTGTGTAAGGATGTTAGCCAAGATACTCCGAAAGTCATTGTCCTGTGATGAAGGAATACACTTGCCAAACAGATAGGGTTAGATTACAAAGAAAACATCTCAAAACAGAAGCTATCTAGTATAACAGATGTACATTGTAAGTTAGAAATTGTAGAAAATGACTGAGTTGTAAAAGGTTTAAAAGGAATAAATAAATAAATATACAACAATTAAACTGAAGAAAATCTGAGTTTTTTTTTTTTTTTTTTTTCTTTTTTTCTTTTCTCAGGTGTAGAAGATAGAAAACGGTCTAAATGATGAAACATCCCTATGAAGTGATGAAGATGTCGACTTTAACCACGACAGACTTGGGAAGTTAAAACACAGGAATGAGGAATGTGAGGGTGGCAGCCCTGAGCATGCTACCAGGCACCAATCAGTGTACAAAGAAGTGCAAAGTACACAAAAAGTACAAAACAGTGCCGGCTGCTCTGGGCTGCAGGTGGAGATCTGACCTGAGGATGATGGAACAGGGATAATCTCTAAAATATCCAGGTTTTCTTCCATCAATATTCCTCTTACTCCCATTCCTCTTTTTATCCCTTCTCCTGGGATAAAAAGAGGTCAACAGGGAGATTCTTCAACTCTGTGAGACCTTGCATGGCATATTGAGCTAGGAACTGATTGGATTGATCTTTAAACAAAAGTTAGCTGTGGGACCAGTGTTATTTTTCATACCAAATAAAATACACAAAATCTTCAAAAAAACAGAGGATTTCTGCAGACAAATCCTGTAAGGTTTTACAATCAATATTTCTAGACAAAATTTTATTTTTTGTGTGTGAGCTCTCTCAAAACCAAATAACCAGAAACCTACTGCCTCTCAAAACAGATAATCTTTCCAAAAATAAATACTTCCTATGCATCTTTTCCTTACACATGAGATGTAAACGGCATTTCTACCTTTCCGATAATCACGTGCAAGAGAAATATGTATGTAGTACTACTTGTAGGTAGCAATCATAGGCCCAAACCAGAAATGGTTTTCTCTTGCACACAAAAGGAGCCATTTCCTGAAGTACATTATAAGGTTTTTCTTTCATAGTAGATTCTTCAAGACTCTTTATATGTTTTACTCACTCTGTAAGTGATACCCTTCTTGTTTCTTTAGAGATGAGCATGAGGAACTTTTGGACCAAATCACTAACATGGAGCCCAGTTCTGCTGTGTGTTGATCAGCTTCCTGGTCAGCAGGCAATAGTGCTGCCGCAACACTTGATAGTTAGATGCTAGCATAAAGCTAGCACTTGAATACACAAGCAGGGTAACCACATCATAAATAGGGGCCCTAATAAGATCCTTTACACAAGTCTTGCCTTTCATTGCAAGGAAGGCTGTCTCAGACAAGACCCAGTTGCTTTCTTTGACAGCAACGAATGACTTTTGAATATAAAAGTTATGTTTCCCATTAGAGCCATCAATTTTAATTTTGGAGTTGTCTTGTGTGGCTAGTCTGGATGATCTACCTCTAATTTTTCTCTTCATGGTAAATACACATTTAGATCTGAATAAGTAGAATCACACTGACTAGAGATTTCCAGTGTTCTTAACAGAGCATACAGTTACAGCATACATACAGTTTAAGCAGCCTCAGTAATGTCTCTACATCACATATCTCCTTTTTTCAGCTTTCTATTTGAGTGATGAGATGGAGACAGCAGTAATGATAAAGATCAAACAAACTTACAGTGTAAAAGTTATTGTAAGGATCACTAGACTTGCTGTTCATTATATACACTTTATGCACCAATATACTAGATCACTGCCAAGTTCCACTGCTGGCACAATAGGCTTAGGAAAGATCCAAATATTTCTAAGAAAATGCACATCTCCAAAATCTTTGTTTCACATTCCTTGTCATGTTTCATCTCACTGTAGCTTGTAGCTGGTCCTTAAATAGAAGTCTTCCAAAGTAATATTAGAGCTAAAGGATTAGATATCATAAGCCATTTCTTTATCAGGCTTTCAATTTCTCTCTGTTTATATAATTTAAATAATACAGTGGAAAACTAAAAAAAAAAAAAAAAAAAAATAAAAAAATTGAACTGTATTAACACTGCTCTAACACATTGGTGACCATTTATTTATATGTTGTTTTATTCACTTCAAAGAAAAGCATTCATATTGCTAACAACTTGCTAACATAAGTAGCAACCCTTCAAAGGTTAGCTCTAAAGAAACAGGTCTGAGGACTGATATAGTTAAGAGGAAGATAAATAAAAATATGATTATGTTTTGCTAACAAGCAATGGTTATTTCAGGAACAATCCAGTGTAAATACTTATGAAAGTATGGAATGTATCTGGGTGGGAATTAGGAGTGCAGATGCACATCAAAAACTGAGCAGATATATACACACTTCATATATATGCAAGTAGCATTTCCTCAGCCTTGAAGACTAGAATGGGCAAAAGTTTCTCTTAAGGTGTTGTTATTCTGCATGTCTAGACGTGTGCGTTTTCCATGATTCCAAAGTGGGTAGTAACATTTATTTGTATTCATGGAAGTACCAAAGATACTGCCCTTCAGTTCTATGACTGTTACAAATGAGGATAGAATTCACAGCAGCCTGATAAATTTCTGAAGTATCTAAACCAGTATTTCCTTAACCTGAGACACATGTAGGCAAATCAGAGTTGGCACTATACAAAGATTTTGTCATTTGTTTGAGATCATTCAATATACTTACTCACAAATGATGGAACTGCAAGTATTGCTGTTTTCTAAAACTCATGCTGTTAAGTCTTCCATTCCATGCCATTGTTGGTCCTATATTCTACATGTGATAGAGTGAAAACTGTTCCAACGTGCTGTTCTGTTCTCTCTTCCCCCCTCCCATTCAACCCCTCCAACACTTTGTGTACCTGTAAGATATCCCATTAACATCTGATCCTGGTTCTGTAATTGTGTTTACCTATTTCAGATATTCTTATTCATACCCTTTTAGGTAAGCCTCAGATGGACTTTTACCTACTTAAACATTTGTAGGATTACCAATTGAATTTGCTTCACCAATCTAGAAATATCTATGTGAGAAGTTGATCAAACCACATCACCAACTTGGCTCTAAAGTACAACTTTTTTCATCAGCATAACAGTATCTATGTGACATGCAGCTTATCATCACAAATTATGGGGGAAAAGGATAAACAACCCATTAAGAAATTAAAGGCCCACAAAGGTGCAGTTTGATAAAGGATAAAAAAAAAACCCCACAGGGTACATATAATAAGATCTCTCCCCTGAAGAGTGATTGTTATCTTTCTTTTATGAACGTCAAAGACCTGGAGCTTCTCAGTGCCTCAGGCAAGTGAGTTTGAAGGTCTCCTTCATGACTGAATAGAAAATAGTAATCAGAATTTACTTCAAGACTATTTATTCTGTAGAGCATTTAAAAAAATGTTTTATGTGTAGAACTTTTGATATTAACAACCGACAGAAACAGCCACCTTATTATGAAACTCTACTGCATTTACTGCATTCAGTGTGTCATCATCTATTTAATCTAGCATATGTGGTTTTTTTTTTCATGGAACATGAAAAAAACAGAGCTAAACAGCTCTGCTTGATACTGTTATTCCCATTTAATTTGTGCAGTCTTCAGTCTGTAGTAAATGAAAGCCTCCACAAAAGGAGAGTGACTTACAGATGAAGATATCTTCGCAACCCCAAGAGAAATAAGTTATTATTAAATGTTTTCATTCCTTAAGACAAAATATACAGACAATATCCTTAATGTATTACAGCTAATAAAATACACCCTTTTTATACTAATAAAAGGGAGTATTATTTACAGTCTTTCAGCTTCCTCTGAGTGCATTTCTTGATTGTACCCATGGTATGACTGGTCGCTGAGCCAGGGCCTAACGAAATCAAAGGAGAAGCAGTCAAAAAGAATGACTTAAGTGATGACAATAGAAACATCCTGCAGTTACTTTCCTTCTGATAAATCACACTAAAATTGGTGGAAAAAAATTATTTGACATCACCTTCATTGTGCTGAAGAATATATATACACATATATTTCCCAGTAAGTTGCATATCTGAAGTTTTGCATTTATTTGTGTTGCTACTGAGCTCCTTCCATTATTGTTTTCTAGTTCTGATCGCAACCATTGATCATCTCTCATCTTAAACTAGATTGTAAGCAGTGACACAGACAAGTAATAGCATATTATTCATAGATAATGCTTTATAATCCAGCCTAGCCCAGAGACCTTTGGGCACTACTGTAGTGGAAATGATAAATAACAATACGTTAGCTGCACACAACAAATGTCTTTGGAGATCTGAAATTCTCCTTTTAGCTGATTTCAGCAGTGTGCCCGTGTGGCCAAGAGGGCCAATGGCATCCTGGGATGCATTAAAAAGAGCGTGGCCAGCAGGTCGAGGGAGGTGATCCTCCTCCTCTACTCTGCCCTGGTGAGGCCTCATCTGGAGTACTGCGTCCAGTTCTGGGCTCCTCAGTACAAAAAAGACAGGGATCTCTTGGAAAGAGTTCAGCGGAGGGCCACGAAGATGGTGAAGGGCCTGGAGCATCTCCCCTATGAAGAAAGGCTGAGTGAACTGGGTCTGTTCAGCCTTGAGAAAAGAAGACTGAGAGGGGACCTGATCCAGGTCTATAAATATCTAAGGTGTGGGGGGCAGAATGGCGAGGCCGGACTCTTTTCAGTGGTGAGTGGAGACAGGACAAGGGGAAACGGCTGGAAACTGCAGCATAGGAAGTTCCGCACAAATGTGTGCAAGAACTTCTCTACAGTGAGGTGACGGAGCACTGGAACAGGCTGCCCAGGGAGGTGGTGGAGTCTCCTTCTCTGGAGATGTTCAAGACCTGCCTGGATGCCTACCTGTGTGACCTGCTGTAGGGAACCTGCTTTGGCAGGGGGGTTGGACTCTGTGATTCAGGAATGCCGTCAGTGACAGCCAGCATTGTCTTTGGCCTCCTCCCTCTCGACCGGTTATTTATGTAATGTGTTCAGGTGGAAAAGCACCCAGTGGAGGCTTACCTACATTTTCAATGCTTGCCTACCAAGATTCATAATGTTAGAGTAGCTGAAGCAAAAAAGACATGTCAAGTTAGCATCCAGGATAAAAATCTGGTGGTGTTGTTACATAGTCCTAAGACTTTAAGTGTATCATGCTAGAGATAGTTGAAATCCTTGGGGGCAGGAGGTCTGTGGATTAATGGATGTTTTCCTCCCCTGTAAATTCCTTTGTATCTGTAAGGCTAAGAGGTGTTGCTCTGTAGGCAAAGCAGAACTTGAAGCTGAAATTTGCGAGCTGCTTCAGAGATGAAAAGTGCTATGAAAACATATACTTCCACTCCAGGTACTTATGGGTACTTACCTTCAAATGGAAATTGAAGTTATACAATGTGATAAAAGCATTGCATGATATAAATGTAATTTCATATTAATGTCTGTACCAAATTTGTTTTGTGTAAGTTTCTCATGTACTAGGTGGTTATCAACCAGCCACAAAAGTGATACTGAAATTCTAATGGTATTTTAACATTCCCTCTAAGTGGCATGAATATAGGCTTCATTTATTAATTGTAGCTGATTAGCCACAAGGCAAACATTTAATTAAACCTTGGGAGACAATAACATTGCACATAAATTATCTATTTAAGAGCACATAGGTCTTTATATTTCATTAAAAATTGTTTAACCAATAACTACACATCTTAAGCTCAATCTGTGTTTGTGCAGATTTAAAACCAGAAAATCCCCTAGTGCATTGCTGTTTTTTTTCCAGACATTTATTTCTTGATGCGTTCTGATTTGTATTTACTTACCACTTGTTCGTGCTGCTTTCCCGATTAGTGAGACTGTCACTCAAGTTGTGGATTAACTATTGATTAAAGAAGTCCAACCACATTATTTACTTCCTAAATAACTTCAGAACACTCTAAAAAGTACAAATAGGTGTTCACGGGATGGTAAAAAGTAAAAAAACAGAAGAAATACAGTGCAATGCAGCCATACATTGAAGAATTCTGATTTGAATTATTTTTGTCAGTTGATCAGAAAATCAGTTGATTTTCAGAAATTTAAATTATTTAATAAATTAGTACTATTAGGCATTAAAACAAAATACTCACTCCTGTAACAGATGTTCTTGAAAGAAATTGCCCAGCTTAAGAAAATGAAGTCCACCAAGGAAGCCAATACGAGGCCCTCCACTATCCCAAGCCAGCCTCCTAGTCTTCAAGTGTTCTGTTTTGTTTCTGGAAAAGAGTTTTATTTCAGGTTCAGAAAGCAGAGGAAACACCAGCTAGAAATCAATTATCAAATAAAAGTAGGCAGACAAAAAAAAAAAAAAAAAAAAAATCTGAAATACAGTAGATTTGCAAACTGCCTGTATGTCTGTGAAGTTAAATGTAGGTTACTCTGTTCATGTACAAAGATATTTAGATGGCAAATGGAAACTAGCTGCTGTGAAGCGTACCACATTCATATATAATTAAAGCACCCAAGAGTAAAATAGTGATGCACAATAGGTGACAACTGATAAAAACAAGGGAAGAAGTATAAAAAAGGATACAAAACCCTGGGGATTATAGAGAATATCTAATACAAGCTGAAGATCCTATGACTGCGTCCAAATTACCAGATAATATAAAAATATTAACAGAACTACTGGAGCCTGCAAATGCAGTGAGACCCTGCCAACATACAGAGCTTCTCAGGCAAATCAGGTTGCAGCATTTCTTGGAAGAATAATTTCACTCACCTGCTATGGATCTGCCTAAAAACAACAAAACAAAAAAACAGCAACCATTCAGATTTGGCCAAACCCTGCCGTTTTTCTGAGAGCTTATCTAATCAAATAACACCTTTTGGAGTAAGAAATTGAAGACAGTGGCTGGCAGAGACAGTTTAGGAGTATAAACCCTAGAAAAGACATACTGATGTTTAAACACATGAACTTGGATATGTGTGTAGTTGCAGCAGGCTTTAACGCCTTTGTTTTGTAGTGATCTCGTAGCCAAAACCATTAAGTTCTTTCCTGAATGCAAAACAGGAGTTTGTATGAGACAATTTGTTATGATTTAGGCTCTGGGAAAGATGTTTATTGAGAAAAAGTTTTCTTGGCATGGATTCTTCTTACACACATACAGCATTTTCACACCAGAATTTCCTCAGATTTGAACAGATTGGGTATACTCTATTCCTTGCTATATCTAGAAAATCAATTGCCTTCAAATATACAGGCTTTCTGAATTTTATGTGCCTCAACCCCAGAAAGAAGACAGGACAATGCTAATAGCTCCTCTCTCAGACCATCCTAATCTTTGCTACAGTTACGTCATAACATTGTTATTCTTCAACTTCATCCTAGATGTTGCTAGATATTCACAATTAATGATTCTTTGTTTCAACAATGTTATTTAACAGTTTCAGCTAAATACACTGCGTCTCTGTCTGGTAACAAGGTAAACTAAAATTTCAGTTCAGTGCTAGTGCTCAACTGGGAGGAGGATTGAGGCAGTTTCCAAGATAATTTGAGTTTACTACAAGCAAGATTAACCTGCAATAAAATTCAACATTATCTCCTGCTGGATGATGTGCTGTAATGTCAGCATCCACATGCTTTTGATTTTGAAATTGTTAAGAGGCACTTCTGGTCTCCACAACCCAGCATTCAGCCAGAGTGTACCTGTGCCTCCGATTGATGAAGCAGCTGAGAAAGCCACAGGACAACATCCCAAAATAAGGCATGTCTCACTGCCAGAGGTGCTCAGTCTGATGGGTTTGGGTGCTTGTTTGAGCTTTCAGTGTATTAGTACATCTTTTCTTAATTTCCTGTAGATTAATTGGCATAGGTTCTTAAAATATGGCAGCAGAGAAACTTGATTACTGAAGAGTGTGAAAGACACCACACATCCTAAAACTGATAATTCCTAATTTTAACACCATGAAGAGCCAAACAAAAAAAGTGACACTCAGATAACTGGATTGTTTTCAAGCAGATATGTTTCTAAATACCAGCTCCTTTACAGCTAATTTGTTGTTATTCATCAGACAGGGATCTCTTGGAAAGAGTCCAGCGGAGGGCCACAAAGATGGTGAAGGGCCTGGAGCATCTCTCATGAAGAAAGGCTGAGTGAACTGGGTCTGTTCAGCCTTGAGAAAAGAAGACTGAGAGGGGACCTGATCCAGGTCTATAAATATCTAAGGTGTGGGGGGCAGAATGGCGAGGCCAGATTCTTTTCAGTGGTGAGTGGAGACAGGACAAGGGGAAATGGCTGGAAACTGCAGCATAGGAAGTTCTGCACAAATGTGTGCAAGAACTTCTTTACAGTGAGGTGACGGAGCACTGGAACAGGCTGCCCAGGGAGGTGGTGGAGTCTCCTTCTCTGGAGATGTTCAAGACCTGCCTGGATGCCTACCTGTGTGACCTACTGTAGGGAACCTGTTTGGCAGGGGGGTTGGACTCGATGATCTCTGGAGGTCCCTTCCAACCCCTACAATTCTGTGATTCTGTGACTCATAGCTCAGTGAGCCTTTTTCCTACAGGAGCAGGTCTCCCTTTCCCCCCCCCCCCCCCCTTTTTTTTTTTCCCTATTTTCATTCCTTCTTTATCTTAGTAAATTTTTCTCAGTAACTTTACATCATCTTTTGAACAGGGGCAAAATTCTGTATCCACAGAGAGAGGGAGAAAACCAGGAGGATTGCAGGGACACACAGAGACTTTGGAAATTTAGTACACAGCACATTTTACTGCTTTATGGCACAGCCATGCGCATAGGGAAGTGCGAGATCAACACTTGTGTGGTGCTGCTATGAACACCTGACATTTGCTTTGGTTTTGGAAGTAATAATCACTAAAATAATTAACTAGGGATGACTTTTTTCCATTCTGGATAAGACGTACTTAAGGTCCATTTGTCTCAAATTACTTTTTTATGCACATCACTTGCTTTCCCACATAAGTTTTGTACCTTAAATAGCTCTGCATCTTTTCTGCACACATCCACAGTGTTTGGTCAGTATTTTCTTTCAGGCATCTTAAGAGGTACAAAGAGCTGACATCAGGCGTCAGTTTGCATATCCTTTTTTGATTCCAGCCTTGTGCTCTGATTCAGGCATTCCCACTGCTTATTCCAGTTACATCTTTTGAACTTCCTGCTGCTGTATAAATAATTGGATACCCTGCTCTGTCTTTTTCTATATGGAGTAAATGTGCTGCTCCTGGGTTGTAAGTACAGTCTACAGTCAGACCTTATGCAGTATTTATGTGTGTCTTTCCAGAAAGATTATTTTGATATTAATTTAGGCCACTTAAGAGCAGTCAGCCATCACTAGTAAATTAAAACCTGTAAACGTATCAGATCTATTATGGCATATTTTTCAAAACGGTGACAACTAACAACTAAATGATGTGTGACTAACACGTCAGCCCCCACCCAGCCCATCACAAACACTTCTCAAATCCTGTCAGTGACATTCAAGTTTGCAATTTTTATGGTTTCATTTCTGTGAACTTTCCCAGGGTTCTGCTATTTATGAAATGGAAAATACCTCAGGAAGGTTGGGGTTGATGTAAAATGTAACAGTAAGAAAAAAAGATCGTTAGACACACAACTTTCTCTACTTTGTTAGCCAAAAATTTGCAGGCAAAACTAGTAGATAATCTGAAATTTGATTCGATATATTATTTCGTAAAGACCACTGAGTTTAACATTTCAAAGCACTTTCAGAATTATGGACTGAAATGCCATTTGTAATTGCCCCAGTGGAATAATCAGAAGTTGTACATTATACTGTTGCTGCAGCATTAGTAAAAGGAAGCAAAGAATGACCATGTAATAAAAAGTCAAAGTTCTGTGTTTATTTTCTAGTGACATCATTAATACAGCCATGCAAATAACTCTAGTAACGTGGACATGCAAACCTCTCAGTTTGTTTTACTTTTTTTCCACAGTTATGTATTACTCATGTTGTATTAGTACACGCGCTGTTTATTTCCCTAATTGTAACAAGCACTTAATTAATTACACTATAACCTCTTGAATCTACAGGCCAACTGTTGCATCTTTAGTTAATATTTTAAAGTTTCATCTTTTTCCACTTTTCCTCACGTCTTTGATGTTTTGTTTCTTACCCTTCTTTTTTGGGTTCTCTGTGGAATAGTCTTAGAATAATCCTGCAGTTCTCTTTTATGACTGAAACTTTGCATTTTAACAGTTATCTGGAGATACTTTCTTCCTTGTGAAATATCAGTTTTAATAACAAGAAAAGAAAAATGCCATAAATCCGCACTAACCACATAAAGCTGAAGTCTCTGAGAGACTGATTAACATTGAGACTCTACACAGGTTTTTCAATAATTAGAGGATGTGCTTGCATGGAGCCATGACTACACTGGCCTTGATGCCATTTCCCAGGGCAGACAGCAATTATTATAGCCCACAGTAAATTTCCTACATTCTCTGCCTCCAGCCACTGAAGATCTTTTTGGCGTAAAGGTCTCTTAACTTTCCACACTCTTGTCATCAGCTTGGATTACCAATGTGTTCTGCTTATTTTCATCAGCTGGTTTAGAAACAACTGACAACTGCTTTTCTACTGCAGTGTTTTCTCTACACTTGAATTGAAGAGATGAGGATCATAGCTTTAATTACATTAACACAGCAAATAACAGTCCTAGCGTTTTCAGCAGGGTGTCCAGAACCAAACTGTTTCCACTATATTTGGACTCAAGTGAGTAGTCCCCACTCAGCACTGACCACTTTTCTGATGTAGATTATATTTATTTATTGTTCTTAGATTTTATCACTTCCATGTTTCACAGATAAATTATTAATTGTGGTGGAGATCTCCTTCTTCTACAATACGGTCACGCCTATGTTGACACATATTCAGTAGTTATTTCAACACTGAATTTTATCGTGATAAAACAACACAAAAAAACTTCAACTAATGTAACATTAATTACCAATAACCTATAATTAGGGCTAGTCAAATAAACAACAGCTTTTTAAAATTAAGTGTTTCTACTACTCTTTAATTATACAAGCATACAATCAATAGGTGCACAAAGGTTAGGCTTAGTAAGATAATTACGATGAAAAGATAATCAAAACAAATGGAAATACTCACCAGTGTCATAGGCTCACAATAAACCCCACAAAGAGCAATCTCCACAAAAAAATCTTTCCTCTATGGTAGTCAGCACTTACATGGAGTCTAGGAGAGGGGGAGCCAGGCTCCACCCCTTCAG